GCCCCAGTCCTTCCCGCCGCCCCCCTCCGGCTCTGGCCCCCGCGCAGCTCTGTCCAGGCGCCCCAGTGCTTCCCTGCGCCCCCCTCCGGCTCTGGCCCCCGTGCAGCTCTGTCCAGGTGCCCCAGTGCTTCCCTGCGCCCCCCTCTGGCTCTGGCCCCCGCGCAGATCTGTCCAGGTGCCCCAGTGCTTCCCTGCGCCCCCCTCTGGCTCTGGCCCCCGCGCAGATCTGTCCAGGTGCCCCAGTGCTTCCCTGCGCCCCCCTCTGGCTCTGGCCCCCGCGCAGATCTGTCCAGGTGCCCCAGTGCTTCCCTGCGCCCCCCTCTGGCTCTGGCCCCCGCGCAGATCTGTCCAGGTGCCCCAGTGCTTCCCTGCGCCCCCCTCTGGCTCTGGCCCCCGCGCAGATCTGTCCAGGTGCCCCAGTGCTTCCCTGCGCCCCCCTCTGGCTCTGGCCCCCGCGCAGATCTGTCCAGGTGCCCCAGTGCTTCCCTGCGCCCCCCTCTGGCTCTGGCCCCCGCGCAGATCTGTCCAGGTGCCCCAGTGCTTCCCTGCGCCCCCCTCTGGCTCTGGCCCCCGCGCAGATCTGTCCAGGTGCCCCAGTGCTTCCCTGCGCCCCCCTCTGGCTCTGGCCCCCGCGCAGCTCTGTCCAGGCGCCCCAGTGCTTCCCTGCACCCCCCTCTGGCTCTGGCCCCCGCGCAGCTCTGTCCAGGTGCCCCAGTGCTTCCCTGCGCCCCCCTCTGGCTCTGGCCCCCGCGCAGATCTGTCCAGGTGCCCCAGTGCTTCCCTGCACCCCCCTCTGGCTCTGGCCCCCGCGCAGCTCTGTCCAGGCGCCCCAGTGCTTCCTTGCACCCCCTCTGGCTATACCAGCCCTGTCTCCATGCACGCAGCCGTGCCAGTCCCCTTCCATCCTGCCCTGTGGCTCCCCTGCTGTTTCTGCCCTGGGACCCATGGATGTCCGTCCGTCCGTCCTTCCTTCTTCCCCCCCTGCGATTGCAGCCGTCCCCTCCCCCCGCTCTGCACCAGATGCCCAGCCTTGTTCCAGACCAGCCGTGTGTCTGCCTGGCCC